CAGGTTGGTACCACCAACAATAGCCGCGTCGCAATGTCCAGATCGAATCAAGTTGTAAGCCTCGCATATAGCGTAGTGGCTCGAACTACATGCAGTATCAATATTATACGATGGTCCAGTAACACCGAGCCAGTAAGCAATTCTACTCGACATAATGGCCTTGCTACATCCAACATAGGCTAAACCAGCAAACTAATCATAATGTTTTTAGTATAATTATAGTGTTACAATATACAATAAGTTATAGAAGGTGTCTCATAATCTTTACAAAGCTCGTGAGGAGGTAAATTATAAAACAAAAAGTCCCATGCTGTTTTGCAATATTTGCAATGAGAATTTTAATATCGAATATTGAAGTCGAACAAATGAGAGCGCGTCGAGATGACACGAGTGAAGTACTCAAACTGCTCGAGCCATGGTCTTATACACAGGTCGGGACACTCCTATACCGGCTACATGCTTTCAAGTGTGCTCAAAGTGACGCCAATATGGCGGTCAGCTCAGGCCTAAAGGTGCAATTTCACGTGACTTTTCGACGTAGTGAAGGAAAAAGTTGACAGAAAAATTTTTATGATGTATATTTAAATGTCTGTCAACTTTTTCCCCCACTACGTCGAAAAGTCACGTGAAATTGCACCTTTAGGCCTGAGCTGACCGCCATATTGGCGTCATTTCGAGCACGCTTTATTCCACGAGTGTCCCGACCTGTGTATAAGACCGTGGCTCGAGCTGTAGCATGTCCTACTGTATTCATTGGCTGCGTTCGGCAGGAAAAGCTGCTTTGCAACTGTTGTAAAATTCGTGAATCTGATTGGTGTGTTCTCTCAATCTTGTGTGAATTTAAGAGCATACGCCAATCAGATTCATGAATTTTACAACAGTTGCAAAGCAGCTTTTTCTGCCGAACGTAGCCATTGGGTCTGTTTTTTATTGCTGCACTCCTGAACTAGTGCACACTGGTGCGATGAGTTGGAATGAGAGGTAATCTATTTGTTTCATTTTAACTTATTGCACTAGTTCAGTAGTGCAGTAATAAAGAACAGGCCTATAGTCTGCATTGGCTGCTGGCATGCTATCGAGAGAAAGGATAGTCGGATGGGATATTTTTCTATAGGATAGTGTTCCAATTACTGAAAATTTTTGTGTATTATAACATACGCAAAATTTACATACACAAAAATCTTTAATAATTGGAACACTGTTGCAACAGCATATTCCTGAGACCAAATCAAGTCAGAAAGTCCTGTACTACTGTTCCCTCCGACAAACAGTTATCGAGATATCATAAGCATTGAAAAAGTTATAAATTTTCTCTTGAATATCTCAAACGGTGTTAGGCAAATTAAAAAATGTTTCGAACAAAAGTTGTTCATATTAATCATACCAACTTTTGTTTGAAAAGTTTTTCCGTATCTTTCATATTTTTGGAGATATTTGCGTGGATCATTTAAAATGAGACACCCTGTATGACTCTTATTTAGATCATAGAATATATATTATACCTGAGGTTTTCTATAAATAAAATAATTTTCCGTATCAGACACACAGATTCCTGTCAAAACACTTGTTCTTGTTCCCCGTAATTCTTTAGGATTAACACCGGCATCAATAATTGCTTCATAAGTATGCTCAAGGAACATTCTGGCCGAAGGGTCCATCATGTGAGCTTCTGCAGCAGGTATGTTGAAGAATTCCGAATCAAACTTTTCTAAGTTGTTAAGTTTACCGATTCGATGACACATATTATAACCTATATAAAAATTAATAAGTTTCATAAGAATGTTTTATAAATGCACATTAAATATTGACTTCTTTCTATATCAAGGATAATAAATGCGCTAAAATGTTTTAAAATTTTTGCAATATAGTACAACTATATCATTTTAAATTATGACATTAAAATAATAAAACGACAAAAATATAATTATACGTAATTTGATATAATTTTGTATAACTTGATCTACATTTTTTCCCTGGGATTGTTGTCTTTATGTTCTCCCTAAGTTATGTAGCAGTTACGTTACGGTTTGCTGGGATCTCAAGTTATTTATAAAAAAATATTAAACTAGATATTACGAATTACACTTAATCAAATATACAATGGTGTACAGAATACGAAATTTTTTTCCATAAATATGTATATAATATATTGATTTTATCATGAGTTTATTACAATTATTCCACCGTCCATGATTACTCGAACCAAGATCCACCTTGTTCGAAAGATTTTCTTGAAACTCTTTTAAATTGTTTGTGTCAGGAAATCGACCAGCAATACCAGAGATAACGATTTCTTCTCCATCATCCATATTGAGACGTGAGTTAGTTTGATTCATGGTGCTCATATTTCATCGAAAGAGTT